TAATACAAGGGGAAAAGATGACCTATATATTGTTTCATGTAATACCAGTTTATGCAAAGACAATTTTATTAATACTGGACTTCGTATGTACAATCATTTACCATATTACATTAAGGAGATACCAGCTCTATACAGATTCAAAAAAGCTTTGAAAAATTTCCTGTTTGATCATTGCTTCTACAGTGTAGACGAATGTCTTACTTCTTTAGAAAAGAGTTCTAGTTAGACTAAATTATATATTCCAAGATTCAAAGAATCAGTTAGCCTCATAGTATTGAATAATACAAGTCATAAGAACGCTTACCGCTCAGTTCATTTATTATTTTTACAGTGTAGGTGAGTATTTTATTTGTTAGAAAAGAGTTTTAGTCAGTCTAAATTATATATACCAAGAATAAATTTGCCTCATAGTGTTGGACAATATAAGTCATGAGAACGCTTACTGCTCAGTTCAATTCTCTCTCCAGGAAATAACACTTCGTGAATGCTTCTGGGAATTATCTGCCTAGTGCCATCTTAAAGGNCTGTCTTCAAGACTAATTATACTGTCATATTATTATCTCTGTATTACTACATTATTATTATTATTATTATCATCATTTATAATAATTTGGCATACTATTTCTGTATTATTATATTCTTATTACTATTTAGTATTAGTATTAATATTAATCTTTGACTCGTCCCATATCATGTATAATGATTCATGGATGAAATAAAATTGAATTGAATTGAGTTTCATCATGTTGTCATGCTGTGGTGCGAAATTTTCAAATCGAGACTTTTGTCTCGCCCTTGGGCGTAATATGCTGGTACATGTTGCAAGGGGTCCACCTCGCCCACATCGGCCCATAGGTCGACCTCCTGCTCTGTCATTTACAATATGTCGATTAGAGGAAGCCAACCGACATCACTGGCCAACTTCTTCAAACACGAGACTGAACTGTCGTGTGGGTCGTGTGCGCTCTTCACGTGCAAAGGGGAGAAACATCCGAACAAGGTGCATAAAACGCGACGTTGGACTCTGCATTTTCGGGTGTTTCCAGGAGTACCACACAAAGGCTATATTCAGTTAGATGATGCAGGAGTGAAGCCTGTTTACTTATCAAGCTGATTCCAAAAAAGAATATATATAAAACAAAGATTTCTATATTAAAATGAGTTTTTCAAAACACTGCACGCGCCTGCAATACATGCCATATTGCGCACTTCGGCCACGACGACTACACGTTAAATGTCCCATACGGCGTACGCGGCGTACTTCGTCTCTTAAAGGTTAAAAGTTAAGTACGGGGGCAACCTAGACTTAACCGCCTAAACATTGGGGTTGGTCATTTCCGGTCATTTCATAGTGTATTCAGCTGTTGTCTGAAACACTCGGATATTTTTCACGATATTCTGCGCAGTGGTATGTAACCTACAGTAGCGCTGCATAGATTGACGAGAGAAACTGACACATTGCAGATACTTACCCTTGTTTCTGTGTGGCACAACGACTGATGCCATGCACAGGAGCTCCGTGTCCAACAACCCCGTTGTAGTGTTCCGTGGCTGATGTAATTGGCAGCCGTCACGAGCGTCACGAGTCACGAGGCTATGCTGCTTGCCAATAAAATTGAGCACATTGAGGGCATATTGAGCGATATTGAGTTTGCAAGAGTTGTTCGTAGGCTGGCAACATTGCGTGCTTGACCATCTTGACGATCTTCGAAAAAGAAGCGACAGTAGGTGGTTTAGGCGATTGAAGTAATGTTTTTATTTAGCTTAATTCAGCGTTCTAAAAAGATCTGTGTTGTTTGGATATCAGACCGAGTGTTTAGTTATGTATAAAGTTTTACAGTGTGGGAAAAATGATTTTAAACTGTTACGCACCTTCGCAAGAAAAAGAGGAAAATTCTTCACCCTGTTTCGTAATGTCATTTGCCTAGTATCATGTGAAAAGGCATATCAGCGCTTGTTACCAGTTTTCCGGTCAAGAGGTGTGACATTTATTGCCGACACATACGTCAGCAAATATTCAGAAGAGCTATGGAAGCTGAAATTACCAGTATTATTATCAAGTGGTGTAGCCCTCCTTCTGGCATTCTGCTCGGAGCGACCAAACGGTAGGTTTGGCACATGTGGTGGCAACAGTTTGGAGTGTTAGTTGTCTGTGACTTAGGCGGATTTATGTTGATGATGAACATTTAATCAGTTATACTTAATGCATACTTTTTGTCAAGTAGGACGTAATGGTAGGTGAAATTAAATTTGTAGTGTGGGTGAAATCTTTCAGCTATTCATAGACTTTAGGAAAGCCTATGATTCAGTTAGGAAAGAAGTATTGTACAATATACTGATAAGAGTTTANAGTCTGCTTTACCGTGTCTCACGGTGTTGTCGCTTGCAGATTTACCTATACTTTTTCTTCAACCCTGAAGATGGGGGCGATACGTTCCTCCGAAACGTCGGTTAACACCACATATACACGGCGCCAAATCCCAGAAGACTGCTTTCTTCAAGAGTTTAGGATACTCATGAAACTACATAGGTCAGATAAAAAGTAGTGGAAACACCTCTATAGTTCTGAAATGACTTTATTACTTGAGGTAAACACACTTACATTCCTTCAATATAATCGCCCCCCCATGTGTACCACCTTCTTCCAGATTTGTGGAAGGCATCGTACACCATCAGCGTATCCACTTCTGTTGATGTCCAGCAGTGACCGCCCTACAGCACGAATAATCTCCTCTCTTGTGTTGTAACATGTCCCTCGCGGTAGTTCTTTCATTTTGGCAAAGAGATCATAATCACACGGACTCATATCGGGTGAGTATAGCAGATGTTGCAGTATCTCCCATCGCCAGCAGTGAAGGAGATCCTTGACAGCATCAGCAGTATGAGACCTTGCATTGTCATGAAGGATGATGGGGTTCGTTGCCAACAAGTGTCGATCGCTTTCTCCTGAGTGCTGGACGAAGATGATTACACAGGAAATTGCAGTAGTAGCCAGCGTTTACTGTCTGTCGTTGAGGTACAGTGTGGTGTAGTATCACTCCATCAGTGTCATATGCCACAATTAATATCGCCTTCACATTACTCTGTGTAGGGTGCACTTTCTTTGGGCGAGGAGAGCCAGGATGCTTCCATTCATTTGATTGTCACTTCAAGTGCAGTTTGTATGAGCGAGCCCAAGTTTCGTCCAGAGTGACGATCCTTTCAAGGAAGTCATCACCTTCTCTATGGTACCAGTCCAACAAGTCCTGTGCAATTGCATAACGTTGCCATTGTTGCACCTCGGACATCGTATGGGGTACCCATTGCGATGCAGTTTTGTGGTATCCAAAAATATCGTGCAGAATGTGGAGCACGGTTTGGTGACATACGCCTACCTCAGTAGCTAACTCCCGCCCAGCCCATTGGCGATCAACATCTAGCAGAGAAGCAAGAAAGTGAATTGTGTGGTTGTCAGCATGGGGTCATCCTGAAAGACGGCTGTCCTGAATGGCATCCCTCTCTTCACGGAACAATTTCACCCATGCCATTGCCAATGTGCAATATGGCAAAGCAGCTTCACCACATGCTTCTCGCTGTCCCTGATAACAGTTTTGTGCACTACAACCTCAAGCAACTTCAATTTCTATCCAGGAGTGTTGTTCTTGTTTCATAAACATGTTGTTAAGGTGCATGAACTGTGCTCCTGCACTTCAAGACGACGCACAATGCAACTCAACAAAACACAACCAGAGCCACTCACTGTACTACTTCAACTGAACTTCTGCTATCAGCTACAGATGGCACTAGTGCCACCTGACGCACATCTTTCATGTTACAGCAGTGTTACCACTACTTTTTATCCTACCCTTGTAGTTAGGCTGGTTAAAATGTGTTTAAATGAAGCATATAGTAAAGTCTGTATAGGTTAACATTTGTCTGATAAATTTCCCATCCAGAATGGTCTAAAACAAGGAGATGCCTTATCACCACTCCTTTTCAACTTTGCTTTAGAATATCCCATTAGGAAGGTCCAGGAAATCCAGGTGGGACTGAAATTAAACGGGTCACATCAGCTGTTGCTCTATGCTGATGATGTGAATCTACTGGGCGATAATATATATACCATAAAGAAAAATACACAAACTTTAATTGACGCAAGTAAGGAGGTTGGTCTAGAAGTAAACACAGATAAAACTAACTATATGTTGGTGTCTTGTCACCAAAATGCAGGGCAAAATCATGATATAAAAATAGGAAACAGATGTTTTGAAAATGTGGCACAGTTCAGATATTTGGGAACAACGATAACAGAACAAAATCTGATCGAGGAGGAAATTAAGAGGAGATTGAACTCGAGTAATGCTTGCTACCATTCAGTCCAGAACCTTTTGTGTTCTTGTCTGCTGTCCAAAAACTTAAAAATTAGAATATACAAAACTATAATTTTTGCCTCTGGTTCTGTATGGGTGTGAAACTTGATCTCTGATATTAATGGAGGAACATAGACTGAGGGTGTTTGAGAACAGGGTGTTGAGGAGAATATTTGGACCAAAGAGAGAGAAAGTGACAGGAGGTTGGAGAAAACTGCATAATGAGGAGCTTTATAACTTGTACTCTTCTACAAGTATAATTAGAATGATCAAGTCAAGGACGATGAGGTGGGCAGGGCATGTAGCACAAATGGGGGAGACGAGGAATGCATATAGGATATTGGAGGGAAAACCAGAAGAAAAGAGACCACTGAGAAGACCAAGACATAGGTGGGTGAACAATATTAAAATGGATCTTAGAGAGATACAATGGGATGTTATGAATTGGATTGATCTGGCTCAGAATAGGGACAAGTGGAGTTCTGTTGTGAACATCGTAGTGAACCTTCAGGTCCCATAAAATGCTGGGAAATTCTTGAGTAGCTGCAGAATTGGCTGCTCCTCAAGAAGTGCTGAGCTCCATGAGTTAAGTAAGAGTGCAAGAAAGAAATTGAATAAAATCAGAACAGCAGAGTTATACCCCAGTCAGAATGTACATTGTGCGTTCAAGTTCTAAGGTCTCCGATTTTTTTTCTCACACAATAATCATACAAACAATTTGAAACTTCTGTCACTTTTCAACGTAATCTCCCTGCAGCCGTACACATTTTTCACAACGTTGACGCCATGATTCCATGACCGCTGCGAACGCTTCTGTAGGAGTGTGTTTTGACCACTGGAAAATTGTTGATGCAATAGCGGATTCAAAAACGGCATCCATGTCTCATCCATTGTCACAGTTGATGAAAAGAAAGTCCCACTCATGCCTTCATCATGTGTCAACATCGCCTGGCAAATTTCCATGCGTGCAGCCTTGTGGTCATCCGTCAGAATTCGTGGCACCCACTTGGAGGACACTTTCCGCATTCGCAGGTCTTCATGCAGGATTGTGTGCACAGATCCCACGGAAATGCCAACTTTGGAGGCGATGTTTTCCACACTCAATCAGCGATCCTCCAAAACAACTTTCTCAACTCGCTCGACCATGTTTTCAGACCTGTTGGTGCGAGGCCGAGAATGTTTTGGTTCGTTGTCACACGACGTTCGGCCTTCTTTGAACTGTCGCACCCACGAACGCACATTTTTCACATTCATGACACGATCACCACACGTCTCACTCAACTGGCGATGAATTTCAATGGGTGGTCGCACCACGCAAGTGGAGAAAACGAATGATTACTCGCTGTTCTTGTAACGAAAATGTCGCCATCATAAGTATCAAAACACTTCTCACTCTCGCGGCTACCACTAGAGTTCTGTGTGCCGTAGAGTGCTGCCATCTCTGTCATGCATTCACGAAGCGTGCACACGTATTTTAAACTAAACCGCATGTGTCTATCTGCTCCCAGTCCTGAGAAAAAAAATCGGAGACCTTAGAACTTGAACGCCCCTCGTAAGATGTCTTCTGAGAGGTTTAAATAACCAGTGGTAATTTATGGTATTGTCATGTGGTATTCACATGGTGAATGTAATGAGACCATAACACTTATTAATATAACTGTATGATATTTGAATGGGTTTGGTAATAAAAATTTGTACAGTTTCATCCACTGTGCAGATCAGTTATGATGCTTTGTTTGCCAAGAATGTTTGGTAAGAACACTATCACCACATGATGTATGATCCAGTACATGTAAGGATGCTAGAGAAATGCAGGAATGGCTACTGAACTTGGTTTTCTGTGATTGAGGTTTTCATTGTCATGACTGATGATTACTGTCATTAAATAAACCAGGATCCATAGAGAGAGTTTAAGCATTCGGTTATCTTTTTCTTTCTTTTTCAGATACACGTTTATTCCGTGCAGCAAAATATGGAAATGCAGAAGAAATTAGAAGGTACGAAATTCAGTTTATGTTAATAAAGAGAGCTATTATGTACACTGTGGTATCATGCAGCTTAGAAGATTTCAGTATTTGTTTCCATTTTACACAAGGTTTTGCATGTATTTTCATATTGGTTGGTAGATGGATCGAAACTGTCTTGGTCCATCTAGTAGTCAGCACCACACAAAAGAGCACAAGAATAGAACATACAGTACAACTACAACAAGGACTGAAAGAAACAGTGAAGTATACCAATTAAATTGGTTCTTAGTGTACTAGAATTTAGATTTGAACCTTCACTTTTAATTAATTAAGTTTCACATTTTGACTGATGACAGTGGATTATAAGATTTAGTTGCATACTAACTCACAAACAAAACTGCTATGACCTCAAGGTTCCAGGCCACTTAGACTCTATGGGTTACCAAAAATCCACAAGCCTGACATTCCACTAAGGCCCATTGTGAGCACCATTGGCTCTCCTACCTATCGCCTGGCCAAACACTTGGCTGGCCTACTGAGCACATACACTGGCAATGGTCCACACAACGTGGAATTTGTCCACACATTGGGCTCTCTCCATGTCAATCCCCACGACATAATGGTCAGTTTCGATGTAGTGTCACTCTTCACCAGGGTGCCTATAAAGGATACAACGGATCTGCTAGGATGACATTTCGAAGAGGACATCTTGCGACTCTTCTGCCATATCCTGACCACCTCATACTTCAACTTCAATGGCCAGTTCTATGAACAAACCGATCGTGTGGCGATGGGCTCGCCACTTTCTCCGGTCATCTCTAACCTATATGGAGGACTTCAAGCAGAGGGCACTTGACTTTGCCCCACACAAGCCCCACTGCTCATTTCGCTATGTGGATGACACCTTCGTCATCTGGCCACACGGGTCCAACAAGCTTAAGGACTTCCTCAACCACCTAAGCAGTATCCACCATTGCATTCAGTTCACAATGGGGACTGAAACTGAGGGCCACCTCCCCTTCTTGGATATAAATATTTACAGGAGGCTCGACGGTTCTCTGGGCCATAGAGTGTACTGAAAATCCACCCATACAAACCTCTACCTTAATGCTGCGTCCCACCACCACCCTTCCAATGAGCAAGCTGCGCTTTCCACATTGGTGCACAGGGCTAGAGCTCTTTGTGATCAAGACTGCCTACATGCGGAGTTGGTGCTCCTGTGGGATGTATTCAGGAAGAAGGGATACAACAACCAGCAGATCCATAGAGTTCTCAACCATAGGCCCAACATCAGCCGGCCTGAAGATAAACCGGGCTCAGTCGCCTTCCTTCCCTATGTCGGGACTATATTCAACCGTATCAGCAGAGTGCTGTCCTGGCACAACATTAAAGCACAGGGTCTGCCTCCAAACAGATTATCCAGTTTCCTCCGGCCAGTCAAAGATAGCCTGGGACTAAGGACACCAGGTTTATACAGTATCCCATGCGAGTGTGGCAAGGTCTATATTGGGCAGACGGGCTGCTGCATGGACATGAGGTTGAAGGAGCATCAGCAGCACATCTGTCTCAAATATCCGGACAGGTCAGCCGTAGCTGAACACAGCATCGATCTGGGACACCACATTCAGCTTCAGAATACCTCCATCCTCGCCACCAAGAACCGATATGTGAATCGCATAATTAGGGAAGCCATTGAGATTGATCTCCATCCCTAAAATATGAACAGAGAGTGGGGTTTTGTCTTAGCAAGTCATGGAAGCCTCTCATCTGTTCCCTAAAACCCCCTGGGACATGATGCCAGATCCACAAGGCTACACAGGCCATGACCGACTAACATAGGAACCCCCACCCTCACTCCACCCCCCCAGTTTAAGGGTTAGTGCCCTCCCTTTAAATTTGTCTTTCTCCCGCCCTCACACAATATCATATACAAAACCCTGCTTCTGTCGCAGCCTCTTCCCCCCTCCCACTCAACTGATTTCCCATGTAGACTTGCCCTCCCCCCTTCCTTCACTGCTCTCACATAGCTGTGTTTATTTCCAACACCAGTCTGCTTGTACTGGTTTTCACGGTCTTTTCGCTTGCAGATTTCTAATTGTTCCTTGTACCCTGAAGATGGAGTCAATATGTTCCTCCGAAATGTCGGTTAACACCACATCTACACTGTGCCACATCACAGAAGACTGCTTTCTTCAATACTTGTGTCATCATCATCATCAGTAATCTGTCAAGACGACAGGTCCACAGTCTCTTCCAAAACAAATCCTCCACTTAATGCGATCTAGAGCATTTTCCTTCAAATGACAGTATCCTCTTCTGTCCCCAAGGTCATCCAGCATCTTCTTACGTCTTCTTCCTCGTCTTCTTGTCACTTCTATCCGCCCTTCTGTCTTTCCTTCAGTAACTTCTTTTAGAAGGTAGTTTCTGCGTAAAACATGACCAATCCAATTAGCCTTCCGTTTTCTTATTTCGTGTAGGATATTCCTCTGCTCACTGACTCTAATTAACACTTCTTCATTTCTCACATGATCAGTCCAACTGATCTTCTCCATCCTTCTCCAACACCACATTTCGAAACTTTCCAGATGTTTCTGATCTACTGCCCTAAGTGTCCATGTTTCAGCCCCATTCAGAGCTATGCTCCAAATGTAGCATTTCACTAGTTTCTTCCTCAAATTTAAGTCCAATTTGCTGGTAAAAAGATTCTTCTTCTTGCTAAATGCAGCTTTTGCCATGGCAATCCTGGATTTAATTTCACAAGTACACCTTCCATCATCTGTTAACAAGCTACCCAAATATTTAAAGCATTTCACATTCTCCAGTTGTTTTTGGTCTATCTTTATTGTGACTGGGGTTGGTTGTCTCGAAATTTTCATTACTTTTGTTTTCTCCACATTCATTTCCATGCCATAGCACCTTCCAATTTCAATTAGTCTATCAATCATGCCCTGTAGCACAGTTTCTTCCTTAGCCATTAACACAAGGTCATCTGCATATTTCACAGTTTGAATAATTTGCCCTCCTACTTTGAAGTCACCGAGCCCATCCAGAGCTTCCTTGGTAAGGCATTCGCTGTACAAGTTGAACAGAATTGGTGATAAACAGCATCCTTGTCGAACTCCTCTTCCAATCTGCACACTTCCTGTCTCCCCCCTGTCCAGTCGTACTCTAACTTTCTGATCCATGTACAATTTGCTAATCAATCTTCTTTCATGCCAATCGATACCTGTTTCTTTCAGGATCTGCATTAATTTGGTCCAGTTTACCCGGTCAAATGCCTTCTGCCAGTCTATGAAGCAAACACACAGTTCTTCATCTATCTCCAAAGTTCGTTCCGCTATAATTCTCATCATCCCAATTGCATCCCTGGTTCCTTTTCCTCTTCTAAATCCAAACTGATCTTCTCCAAGTACATCCTCTATTTTCCTTTCAATTCTTCTTTTAAGTATCTTTGCTATTATCTTTGCTGTATGTGCAATAAGACTTATTGTGCGATGGTCGCTGCATTTTGTAGCTTTTGTCTTTTTCTTTAAGGCAATCATTGTAACTTCTGTAAAGTCCTTGGGCCACTCTCCACTTTCATATATGGTGTTCATTAGTTTTGTCAGTGTTTTCAAACCACCTTCTCCCAGTAACTTGAGCACATCTCCAGGTACATCATCATCTCCTGTAGCCTTTCCCTTCCTCATTTCCTTGATAGCTTTTTCCACCTCACTTTGTAAAATATATGGTCCTTTCTCGTCTGTATCTACTTCTTCTTCCGGTTCAACTTCTAAGGTTTCTGGCCGATTAGGTCGATCATATAGTTCTGAAATATAATTTTCCCAAATTTTCAGCACTTGCCTCTGATCTACTATTCTATTCCCCTGGGAGTCTTCGATGCCAACATTTTGAATCCCATGATTCTCTTTCCATCCTAGTTCTTTTGTCTTCATGTGCATCAAATAATAACGTCCTGTTCTTTGAAATTCCATAATCTCATTACATATCTTCTCAAGATATTCCTTTTTGGCCCTGTCCGTGGCTCTTTTCAATTCATTCCTCAGTCTCCTGTATTTCCTCCTGCCTTCTTCATTGTTGACATTCTTCCATTTCCTTCGCTCCTCCATTTTACTCATCATCTCCTGTGTAACCCATGGTTTTCTTGCTATCTTCTCAACTTTACCTACCAAATCACTGATAGTATCTAGCATGCATTCTTTTATATTGTTCCACTGTGCTTCAGCATTTCCACTTTCGCCTTCAAATGCACCGAGTTTCTCTTCTAGGGTCTCTTGCACGCTTTGTCTTTGAGCATATAACTTCTCCAAATCCCATCTGGGTCTGCGCTTTCGAAATCCTATAATTTTCTTCAACCTGGTTCGGAACTTGGCAACCAGCAAGTTGTGGTCAGAGTCAATGTCTGCCCCAGGAAGCGTCTTCACATCCTTCACACTGTTTCTGAATCGATGTTTCACAAGGATGTAGTCCAGCTGATGCCTCTTCCAATCCCCAGGTGCCTTCCATGTGTAAATTCTTCTCTTTGGCTTCTTGAACCAAGTGTTGGTAACAATCAATCCATTTCGTTCACAAAAGTCAATAAGCATTTGACCTCTGTGATTCCGTCTTCCTAGTCCATGTGATCCAACAATATTCTGATATGGTTCATCTCCAACAATGCTGTTCCAGTCTCCCAATATGATGCTGTTTGTGTCTCCTCTTCCATCTTCCTGAAGAATTTCTTCAATTGTGTCATACACTTTTTCCACTTCATCATCTTCATACTCTGATGTTGGCATGTACACTTGTATAATCAGTATATCTACCGGTTCCGCCTTTAACTTCAGAGCAATAATTCTGTCATTACAAGCAATCTTCTTAACAACACTCCTCACTACACTTTTATGCACCACTATTGCCACACCTCTTTCAGCCCGTTCACCTCTGGAATAATACATCGTATAATCACCACTTCTTATTTCGCCTTGTCCTTTCCATCGCACTTCGCTGACACCTAGAACAGACACCTCATTCTTCTGCATTTCCATTTTAAAATTCTCCAATTTGCCTGCTTGATTCAACGTCCTTACATTCCATGTTCCAATCTTGTAGCCGTGATGTTCCTTCTGATCTTCACACTTTTTCTTGTTGTAATGCCTGCATGACATTTCCTCTAGAAACACTCCCCCCCGGAGATCCGATTGTGGGAGTAGTTTACCTCTGGATTGTTTTGCCTCCAGAGGAAACATCTCGCATACATGGTATCTCTGTTTTTGGAAAGAGACTATCCAGGAAATGTGATAATGTGGTAGTTCTTCCATTTGTTTTCCACATCGCAGTACAACAACCATTGAAACCACTCTGGTCACGCCTGCTGCTATACGAACTTGAACCATCTCGAGCATCATTTGCTCTGTGCTTCAAGTCGCTGCTGATGACGCTGCTTCCGACATCAGTTTTTGGTGTCTCTCTTCGTCTGATGCCTACCCTTTGACCTGTCCAGCAAGGGAGGCCCTGCCAGTAGCTATGCTACCGCTGGTATAGCTCTCAGGGTCCTTGGCATACTCAATCCCCCTCACCACGATTAGGTTGAGACACGAACGAGGGGGAATACTTGTGTATACCAGTATTCTTCTCAAGTGTCTGTTGATGGTTATGTTGGTGACAGGAACATGTCACAGAATAAATTATCACGTGAATGTGAGTGGTATTTGCATAGAAACTATACCGCCTTGTGTATGAAATAAGTGCTTTGAAGAAAGGACTGAAGCAATGATATTTATTCTGGTGCCACAACAGGATGCATCAGTATAGTATGAGCTTTGTACTGTTTATGTAATAGTGAGCTGGGATAGCATGGTTGGTATAGCAACTGGCTATTGGCTGGATGACTGAGGGGTCAGAGTTCGAGTCCCGGTGGGGTCAGGAATTTTCACTTCTCCATGTTGTCCAGACCGGTTCTGGGGCCCACCCAGCCTCCTATCCAATGGGTACCGGGGTCTCTTTCCCTGGGGTTAAAGCAGCCAGGGCGTGAAGCTGGTCACTTACCACCAGCTAGTCCTGAGGTCAAGAAAATATAGATCCATACATCCACTCCCCCATACACGTTCATGGTGTAGTGCTTAAGTAGTTAAGCACAGGGACAACTTCACCTTTACTGTTTATGTAATTGCTTTGTCTATGATGCCGTCTTCTGGGAAGTGGTACTGTGTAGATATTGTGTTAATTGACATTTTGGAGGAATGTATCACCTCCATCTTCAGGATATAAGAAATCTGCGAGCAGTGAACCAGCATGAGCAAGTGGTTGTAGTTTACATGGCACCACATCCCAGAAGACTACATTCTTCATAGTCACCACTGTGAAAACCTCAAATCTTACATATTGCTTCTGTGCTGATTGATAAACATATTTTGTTATCAGGTTGAGCGCTGAAGGTTTTGATGTGAATGTACGGCATCCTCTTGGTTGGACGGCCTTGCATGTGGCAGCAGTGAATGGAAATATAGAGGCCGTGGAAGCTCTGTTGAAAGCAGGAGCTGATCCAAACTTGGGTGATGATTTCATAAGTGCTCACAGAACTGGAATTGAAATTGGTCTTCATGCCATTGATGGTAATAAATGAATTAAGATTTCTGTAATTGTATGGTGACTATGGACGACGAATGAGAAAGATGCAGTTGTGACATATAATTCTAGAATTTTCCTAGAGAGACTGAAGTAAACCATCAAAACCTCCATCAGGATAGAATATCTTGAGGCTGAAATGTGAACTTAAAGGTTAAGTGTGAACTATGATATTCATTAAGACAGATAATAAAGAATCTTTATACCCTTTTATTAAAATGTATGACTTACTGCCATGTCTACAAACTAAACATGTAAAACTGATTCTCTTTCTGAAATTGGTACATTTATAAACTATTCACCCCTCTATCGTTTTCTTTTTTTTTCCCCCTTATTCGCTGTAACCACAGGTTTGTGTACATTATTATACTACAGAAGTTGACTGTTATATATTCGATCAGAACTAAGTGTAGGTGCTTTCATAGCAGGCTGAAGTTCCTATTACTTCTCTGTGACTGAATTTAGTATATTTTTTAGGTAAAGTAGGCTTTCTATGTCAGTTTTTTATTATTATTTTGTTGTTTTTTTTACTAGATTTGTGTTGAAATAGCTTATAAGAATTGTTCCTTCCTTGCAGGTCATGTGATGGATGTATGTATTATGAGAGGGGGTGGGTTTCCCCATGCATTTAGACCAGTTATTGGTCCATTGTGCATCCCCCCTTTAATTTCTACTGTCGCCATACCCTACCAGTAACGGTGCATGCCATCAGTACCCATAGAGCCAACGAGGTCGGCCCCCAGTACCTTGATGCTTCCCCCATCCACCAGAGGCATTGGAGACTACTTGGGTGGGAAAGGGCCTGTAATTTAGCTCAGAGGTCTCCCAAAGACATGAGGTTCTTTTACGTGCCGTAAATCTACGACACGGGACACACGGCTTAAAGTCCCTCCCGGAGGACTTGTTCCCTGAATTTTTCCGCCCTTAAAAATTCCACGACCTCCGCCGGGTTTGAACCCGCATACCTTGGGTCATGACGTGGGAACATTACCCCTAGACTACGGAGGCTGCTCACAGGTCATGTGATAGTTTTCTTATAAGGAAATGTGATATGGCACAGATTAATACAGATTTTAATTTTCTGTGAATGGATTTCTATTTCTTTTAGTTATTATGAGACGGGAGCATGAGTTCACCGATATACTGAGCAATCGTGCTTCATTCCGTGGCTTCACAGCGCTACACTATGCTGTAATAATTGAAGATATTGACATTGTGAGGGCCCTACTTGAAGGAGGAGCAGACCCAACCATCAAGAATGATTCAGGATATCTTCCTGTTGATTTTTCCCAAAAACTTCCAGCGATCAGAGACATGCTAATAAAATCATCCATTGAGGTACTCTCTTAATATTTTATATGTTTGCTTAATAAAATATTTGCTGTAGAATCTTGGAGGTTGTGATCATATCTGGGCTTATCAAATTGTGGGTACTAGGTCATCGTGGTATCAAAAATCTTTGTGGTCACATCTAATATTTTCTAGCCCTTCTGTGTTCATCAATGTGAAATTTAAGATTTCCCACATGTAGTTCAGATTCTCTCAGGTTTGGAACACAATGGCATAGCTTGTGGTTTGAAATATAACAGCCAATATGCATGTCTTTTAGAGAGAGCATCCTTTGTAATGTGTTCTTTTAAACTTGTTCAAAACACACTGAATTATGTTTTGTAAGCATGCCTGAATTTTTATCAAGAAGTAAATGCCTGATGAATTTTGTACCATGTATCATATTTGGTAAATAGTTCAGGACTTTGGGTAGGCAGCTGTTCAAATATGTTCTTTAGTTTCAGTCTGAAATTTGTTTGGAAGCAGTTTGTACTTTTTAATCACTAATGAAAAGTCATATATATTTGAAATCCTTTTTTATTCCCATCTTGGCCTCTGTTTTTGGAGGAATCAGTAGATCTGTAGAAAATTTGTTGAGGTCCAGATGATACATCATTATAGTTAGCAGCAAGGTGCCTCTTGTAATGAGAGTCAAGCCAGAACTGTACTTTGGGTGGGGGGGAGCTGTTTCAGAATCTGACCCCTGCCTGACAGCAGGATGGGCATTGCACTTACAGTGGTACACCAGCCATATGAAGTTAAAAACTTTTAATGCAAAGTACTAGATATTTCTATTATAGATGAAATTTTTTCCACACAAGATGCAGTAGTTTTATGGCCATGACTCATTTTCTTGAATTAGGTTGTGGTATTTCATTCACATGGAGCACGTGGTAATGTGGTCGGTTGAGGCACTATGCTACAAGCTGGAAAGTCGTGGGTTCAATTCCTGATAAGGTCATTGCAATTTTTCAGTTTACCTAATCCTTCCAGCTACACTATGGCCCTGGGGTCGACACAGCCTCTTAACAGAAATGAGTACCAGAAATCTTTCCATGGGGTAAAGGGTAGTTGCTGCATAAAGTTGACAATCTCACAGCCATCTGTTAGCTTATCATCTAGAAGAGTTTGGAGCCTCAATGTGTCACAACCCTACAGGCCTCAACAGCCTGTTACAAGGATAACTTTCTTTTCTTTTATTTCATCCACATTAGATGCAGTGACTGAAACTCCTTCAATTATGTAATGGCATTTCATCCATTTGCAGTTTTCTTGACCTAGGTAATGGTTATATTATACATAGCAGAAGTAATGATTATACTCTTGTTGACTGATTGACAGAGTTTCATTTTTAAAACCACATGAAGTTTAGTGTGGAATAATATATGAGAGGCTTTAAGAGATGCGGTGTATCCTTTGTGTCAGAGAATGGGGTGGGTACCGCGAGAATTAAGTGCTGAATTCAGAAACATTAAATCAATATACTCGTTTCATTTTTAAGTGGCACTGACAGTACTTAAAAGAAAAATATCGGGGTTTCACCATATCAGTTTGTGTCTGTGTATGAAGAAAGTCGTCTTCTGGGATGTGGCGCCATGTAGAAATTGTGTTAACCGACATTTTGGAGGAATGTATTGCCTCCATATTCAGGGGTAGAAGACGAGAAGAAATCCGTGAGCGAACCAGCAGAGCAGGTGCAACAGAGTGAATCCAGTCGAGTAAACACAGCTGTATAAGAGAAGGAGTGTGGCTACATAGGGAAATAGTAGAGAGGGGGGAGGGGAAGGGTCTGGTGGAATAGCCAGCAGGTAGTGGGCCAGAGCTGGTATGGAGTGTGTGTTAGGGGGAGAGAAGGGAAGGTTAAATGGAGGGCATTAACCCTGTAGCTCGGAGATTGCGATGAACCTGAGTGGCCAGTAGAGTCTGCCTGCCGTATTTCGGAGGTTACTTGAGGGAACAGATGAGAGATTTCCATGACTTGCTGAGACAAAACCCCACCTATCTGTTTATATTGTTGGGATGGAGTTCAATCTTAATTGCCTCCCTAATGATGTGATCCATATAATGGGTCTTGGTAGCGAGGATGGAGGTATTCTAGAGCTGAATGCGGTGTCCAAAATCGATGCTGTGTTCAGCCACAGCTGACTTGTCTGGATGTTCAAGACGGATGTGCCGCTTATGTTTCTTCAACTTCATGTCCACAGAACAGCCTGTCTGCCCAATATAGACCTTGCCACACTTGCATGGGATACTGTATACATCTGGTGTCCTTAGCCCCGGGCTATCTTTGATCGGCTGGAAGAAACTTGAACTCCATCCCGACAATATGAACAGAGAGGTGGGGTTTTGTCTCAGCAAGTCATGGAAGCCTCTCATCTCTTCCCTCAAGTAACCTCTGAAATATGGCAGAACCTATAGGCCACTCAGGTTCAATGCAGCCCCTGAGCTACAGTGTTAATGCCCTCCATTTAACCTTCACTTCTCTCTCCCTAACACATACTCTATACCAGCTCTGGCCCACTACCTGCCGGCTCCCCTCTGCTATTTCCCTAGCCCTCCATTTAACCTTCACTTCTCTCTCCCTAACACATACTCTATACCAGCTCTGGCCCACTACCTGCCGGCTCCCCTCTACTATTTCCCTATGTAGCCACACTCCTTCTCTTATACAGCTCTGTTTCCTTGACTGGATTCAGTCTGTTGCACCTGCTCTCATGCTTCGCTCGCGGATTTCTTCTTGTCTTCTACCCCAGAAGATGGAGGCAATACGTTCCTCTGAAACGTCAGTTAACATAATTTCTATATGGCGCCACATCCCAGAAGATGGCATTCTTTATAGTCACCACCATGAAAACCTCAAATCTTACATGTGTCTGTGTAGTTCACGGAAATGCAGTCAAGGAAAGAAGCAGAGGAAAGACGTAGGTTTCCATTGGAACAGCGGCTGAAACAGCAAATTGTTGGACAGGAGGGTGCAATTACAACTGTGGCATCAAGTAAGTAGTGATCTTTTCATTAGTGTGATATTGCTAGATAATGGGTCATGTGGGATTTGTGGGGGATTACAGAAAGTTTTCGTGGAATACTTCGCGTCCCACTGTCAATTCGTATTCCACCAACTGCTCAATACATCTTTTAATCACCAAATCATTGATGTTATATAGTCTCAGGACTGACAGTCATTAAATAAGAAACTTAAGAAGAAGCAACTAGATAACAAGTATTAATGATACTAACAATTAGTATGAAACAGTTGTAAATACGTTTACGACCATGTGAGAGCTTTCTGCAAATTTTTCACTTGTCTGGGTGGAAGAATTGGCCACACATGGCCCAACAATGTAGGTGAAGCCCTGAAGAGATTGCACCGTGTTGCTGATATTGCTTGAAGATGCATTTGTGTGTGTTACATAGAAGAGATTATACATTATCAAAATGGATAAGTAGCGCACTTCGTGCATTGTAAGAAAGTCTGTAGTGTAGAAAAATATGATTTCATTACAGGAGTTGGTCTAGTAGAGAGAATTCTTGTACTTGTCTCAGTTCTGAAAATTTTTCCAAATTCTCATCTCAGTCTCATCTGAAACTGAGAAAGTCATCCTTATACATGCCTAATATATGAGGGTCGTACTGAAAGTCATGAGCAACAATTTTTTGTAAAGTAACATGCTTTATTATTGACAAACCAAATACACCACCTCAATCTACAGACCTTTCTTTATTTTTCCATGTAATCGCCACTTTGTACACATTTCTTCCAGCGTTCTGGGAGTTTGAAAATTCCCCTTCTGTAAAATTCCGTTCCAGCCATCCGAAGACACTGATGCACTGCTTTCTGAATTGCCTCCCTTGTCTCAAAACGTCCACGCAGCTGATCCTTCACAAATCCGAAAAGATGGTAGTCGGAGGGTGCGAGATCAGGGCTATAGAAGGGGTGTGGAAGAACTTCCCACCCCATCTTTGCAATTGCTTCCAATGTGAAGCGAGCGGCGTGGGGGCGAGCGTTGTCATGTAGGATGATGATGTTTCGTCCCGGACGTTTATTGCACAACGCACAACGGAGCTTGTGCAGCATCTGGACATAATGAGCAGCATTGATGGTTTGCCCAGGTTCCAGGAATTTGGCCAGAATAAACCTCTGCATCCCAGAAGATTGTGCCCATCACCTTCGCAGCTGATGGCACTGTCTTTGCCTTCTTTTTTGATGGAGAATGCAAATGGTGCCATTCTATACTCTGCCATTTCATTTCAGGCTCGAAATGGTGAAACTAGCTTTCGTCGCCGGTCACAATACAGAGCAAAAAAATCATCGCCTTCGTGTCGCTATTTCTGCCGCAGTTCTGAGGTGATGGCTTTTCGCCGACCTTTGTGGTCTTTGGTCAATAACCGCAGGACCCAACGAGCACAAACTTTCCTATAGCCCAAGCTTTCAATCATCCCCTGTACTGCACTGTGGCCTATTCCAAGTTTTCGGGTTATTTTGTCCACAGTCACACGCCTGTCATCTTGAATGATCTCATCCACTCTTTCCTTGTTGTGTTCAGTTGAGGCTGTTCGAGGACGACTGCTCCAAGGCTCATCTTCGATGCTGGTGTTCCCATCTTAAAAAGGTTTCACCCGTCTTTGAACACTGCTCGCACCCATTCTGTATTCTGTATTGAGGGGGTGGGTTTCCCCATGCACTTAGACCGATTACTGGTCCAGTGTGCGTCTCCCTTTAATTTCTACTGTCTCCATACCCTACCGGTACTGGTACTTACTATCAGCCCCTTTCTGCCAGCAGGGTTCCAACCTCTTACTGGCAGTGGTATCTAATAGTTAGTCCCTTTCTGTCAGCGAGGTCGTCCCTCCTCTGGCAGGGGTTCCTAGTCCCTTTCTGCCAGCAAGGTTTCTACCCTCTACTTGGCAGTGGTATCTAATGCTTCAGTCCCTTTCTGTCAGAGAGGTCCCCCCTCTTCTGGCAGTGGTACCTGATACTTCCCCCATCTACCGGAGGAATTGGAAACTAGTTGGGTGGGAAACTTGGCCTAATTTTGCTCAGAGGTCTCATAGAGTCATGAGGTTCTTTTACGTGCCGTAAATCTACGACACGGGACCCGTGGCTTAAAGTCCCTCCCGGAGGAATTGTTCCCTGAATTTTTCCGCCCTTAAAAATTCCACGACCTCCGCCAGGTTTTTGAACCTGCATACCTTGAGTCATGAGGTTGGAACGTTACCCCTAGACTATGGAGGCCGCTTGCTCGCACCCATGCACACACTTCCATAAACACGCTGGCATCTCTGGTGAATTTCTGCAGCAGGGATTTCCTCTTTCAGAAGAAATTCGATATTAGCACGCTGGCGAAATGACATATCGTTGTCGGCCATGTCACGTGGTCACGTGATGCAAGTTATTGACGTCGCAAGACACTCATGGTTAACACAACAGCTGGTTCTACCTATCACCATACTCTCTTTTGTCTGCTGCTGTTCCCAGGTTGCATGCAAAAAAAGTTGGTCATGACTTTCGGTACGACCTAAATACTTGTGTGTATGCAGTGTTTGCATTAGAAAACTTGCCCTTTGAAAATTAGCCAGATCATGTTATGGTAGATGTAAAAACTGCATTGTTGGCTCAAGTTGATATTGGATAAAGGATGTATTCAGGTTTAAGCCTCTGACATATGATCCGGTGGATGGTTACCAACATTTTGCAGAAACTTGCTTCATTTGTATGCTACTTGGATGGTGGAGGCTGTGTGTTCTTCTGAAACACTGGTAACCATCTACATGGAGCAACACCTGAAAAGAATGCAATGGTAATATTTACAGCCATGATAAGAAACAAACTCTGTGGATGGCCGCGCCATAGCTCAAGTGGTTAGCCACTGGCTTTCCACTGCGGCGGCCCGGGTTCAATCCTAGGTCTGGTCAAGTGGGATGGTGGACAAAGTGGTGCTGGGGCAGGTTTTCTCCAAGTACTTCGGTTTCCCCTGCCAATCTTCATTCCACCAGTTGCTCCACAATCACCCTCATCTATCATCTTGGGCTGGTACAGTAGGCCAGAAGTGGCCGCAGTACAAGGGACTTAGTCCCACCCCACTAGCAATAAAAGAAATCTCCGTGGTTTTAGTCTGCAAGTGAACTATACCAACCGAGCAACCGCAGCTTGTCAGCGAAGTTAGTGCCAACTTTTGCAGATAGAGGGTGTCACGTGGTCAGCACAATGAATCCCCATGGCCGTTAATTTTGGTTTTCTAGACAGGAACCGCTATTTCATTGAAATAGCTCCTCAGTTATCCTCATGATGCTGAGTGGACTCTGTTCCAGATCTCCTACTTCTCAGAAAATCTGGTGATGCCGGGAATCGAGCCCGGGACCTCTGGATCTATAGCCAGGAACTCTGATCACTTCAGATATCATAGTCTTTTTTATTACATTGAAGTCAAAAAAGGAGTACTTATTCTAGCAAGAATTTATGTTATTGGTATCCTGTTAATTGTAATTTTTATATTACCTTCTCTTTCAGAATTATTTATAGTTTAAAGCATATGAACGTTTTTCTTTGTATCATCCTTTTAGCTATCCGCAGGAAGGAAAATGGTTGGATTGATGATCAGCATCCTCTGGTTTTCCTCTTCTTGGGATCCTCTGGTATCGGGAAAACTGAATTAGCCAAGCAGCTTGCCAAATACCTTCACAAGAAAAAGGACAGTGCGTTTATACGCATTGACATGTCTGAGTACCAGGAAAAGCATGAGGTATGGAGCTGTGGGCATAGCTAAATAACTAAGCAGCCAACTTTATTGTAGTAGAACCAGAAGCTGGTTCTTGACAGAGACCATTGTTGGACTCATCTTGGTTCATTTCAATTCAGTCATTTCACAACATGTTTTATTTTTTCCTTTTCCACCACCTCTTTCTTGGTCTTCCAAGTGGTTGCTTTTCTGAAATATGTCTCCATGAAAATTCTTTATATACTTCTGGATTGTCTCCAGTATAATTATTTTGTTCAGTCTCTTAATTTCCTCCACTTGACTACCAATACTAGAATGCGTGCTCTAATTATAAGTTCTGCAGTATATCCTCTGGTCGAGCGGCCTCCGTAGTCGCGGTGCATGGGGAAACCCACCCCCTCCAATAATAATAATAATAATGGTAATGTCCTCTGGTCTGTACTTCATATCTCTTGGGTTCAGATATATTCTTGAGCAGTTTGTTTTCAAACATTTGTAATTTATATTTTTCCCTCAAAGTAAGAAACTGCATTTCACGGTGAAAACAAAAGGAGGTAGCCTCTGTGTGTGGAGGGTAGCTGTATGAGTAAACATTTGCAGCATTTGCAGACAGCCAGTGAGGGGAGTTCCTTGAACTTGGCGGTTTTT